AACAAATTATGATTTTACAATATTATTTTGCATAACGTTTACTCATTCTATATTCAGCCAATAAAGACATAATATATATTTTTTTAATTTTTGAATAAAAACTCACGCGTAAAAGTCAATATTTTTTGGGAAAAAATATTTTTAGCAAAAAATATAAATAAAAAAGATTCAAGTGATATCTGAAAAAAAAAAAGATTCCATTCATTTACTGACTGAATACATATCCTTATAGGATAAACAATATTTTATGACTACAAAAAGATTAACTTTTTAAAACACCTGCTATAAAAATGTTATTAAATAAATCTTTCTTATAAATAACTTAAACTTACAATTCGACCTAAAGTATTTACAATAACTCGTTACACTAAATTAAATTCAATACACTACTCACTCACTGATATCTAACCTAGTATGGATACACAGAGGTAATATATAATGAAAAAAATGTACAATTCAGTTTTCGTCATATTTATAAAATTAAATTGTAAAACCTTTTAATATAAATAAATTATAAAAAAAAATCTTAGTTAATTAAAAAAAATAATAGATTAAATTATCAATAACCACATTTCTTAACATTAAAAAGAAATTAAAATTTAATATGATTATTATTACATAAATATTTTTTTTTTTTCAAATACAACAATAATAATCCAGAAATATTATTAAAATAGTACATATTTTAATTTATTTTTAACCTAATTATGTGTCTATTCATAATAATTTTATTATAATTAAATATATGTACATACTTATACCTGTATTTATACAAAAACAATACCATTAAAATATTTGAAAAGTTTTAACTATTTTTTTTAATATCCGATAAAGGAATAAAAATATTCTTCTTTACAACATAAAACATTAGATATGTATACTTTTGCCATATAAAAAAGTACTTGAAATTTTGAAAGAAAACAAAAAAATCTTGGAATAAAAAATTATACTTAACTAATCTATTATTTACAATTAACACATTACAAACTACGATAACCTCTCATTTTTTTTAAAGTTTAAATATATTTTGCTAACGTCGAATCTGTCTGTTTGTGACGTTTTTGAAGTCTTTATTTGGGTCTAGCTACATTTCGATTTCAGTAAAAACAGACTTTCGGGGTAATGTTCCGAGATCAATTATCCTCAGTGCGATGTGCCATGCGGGTTGCTCCTGGTACTTCTATGATAGCAGAGTAGACCGTTGGAGCAACCCCATGGTTGTTGTGGTCTGCTTCAGCAGACCTGCCGTCGGGGTGTCGTAGTTGAATGCGTAAGCGATCCTACGACGCCCCATTAAGACGGGGGAGGTTCTGTTGGGTTTTAGTGGGTAGTACCGGCTTCTTTCTGGCCAGTGAGTCCCATATAATAGTATACATTTCCCGACGTTAAAAAATAAAAGGATTTGAACCCAAAACCTCCGGATCTCCGTACATATTGGCCACTAGACCACCGAAGCATTTATAGTTTTCAGTCAAAATATTATTGCGATCCCATTTTATACCTGTTTTACAGCATAGTTTAGTGAGATGGAGGCTTTTTATAAAAAAAATCAATTACATATTAGCATTTACGTTCTTAATGAGATATAGTCATTATTCATATTTTGCTGTTCTTTTTTAGCAATTTTAGAGATTAATTAATATAAAACTTTTAATATTAACCGTCTTTAATAATAATTTGAAGCTTATTGAGTACTTACTGTAGATCTAAAGCCTTTAAAAGCTATATCAGAGGGCCTTTTGTAATTTCAAATATCTTGTATAGGAAAATAGTTGAGAAGAAGTTTATTAGGATGACACCTATATCATTTTTTATTATTATTATTTTTATTAAATTACTAAAATTACCATAGTGTAAATCTCCTAATGAAAATGTGCCAAATCTTTACGTTCCAAGCATATCTGCCTCCGTTGGACCGACTTCAAAAAGGAGGTATTCAATCTAACATTATATATACAAAATTTTACTAGATATTGAGTAATTCTAAACAGATTTATATTTTCATGTAACAAGACTCGCAGCAACTACAAAACATATATGTATCCGACTGCATAATACCACAGATAACATAAAAAATTCTATGTTTCTCCGTCAACTTGTTGGCATTTTTTTAATTAGCATTTTACTTAGTCGGGTTTTTGTTTTCGTAATTTAATTTTTAGTGTGCAATATACATTTATTCATACAAATTACATTATTGCCATTTATAGCATAGTATAATATTCATATCGTTCTAAATCTTATAATTTAAATTTGAACACGAAACGGTCATAAAGAAATCTATTTATTATTACTTAGTTATTACATAATTTTATTGCTATAAATGATAAATATTTATTATTATTTTTACACTTTCAAAGAGTTTATAATATATTTAAAAACTATTACACGACCAAATCGCGAGACAGTGTTCTTAATAACTATAGTTTTCCCACACAACTCTTCTCGCGTATATTAATTAATATTCATCGAACCCCGCTACCAGCCAATGAAATTAAATGAATTAAAAAAAACATCTATATAGATAATTGTAGTGCAATTTAAATAAAACTATCTTTTCGAATTTTTTCGCGGATTTATTTAGACTTTTAGTACCTGACGTTTCGATTTACAACAATTATGGTCAAGTTTTTGAAATCATTTTGTAATTTTGTGGGTAGGTGCTGTTTGTAACAACTAATATTGACCTTTGAGACGTCTAAAACTTCAGTTTCTCCTGTAACTATGATTGCTGTAAAGCATTCAAAATATCGGAAACCAAAAATCAAAGTAAATCAGCGAAAACATCGGAAAAGTTTGTTATTTAAATTATTATTATTGTTATTTAAAATGTTAAATATTCGCGTAAATCTAGGAAAGTATATATAATAGTACAGCAATTTAGCTGATTTTTGTAAAACTTTCATAGGCCGGTAGAGCCTAGGATAAGAGTGATATAGAGTCAATATTTTACCGATTTAACACGAAAAGGAAGTCGCAGATGAAAGCTAGTTTCAAAATATATACTCGTAAATTGTATTCAGGCCTTTTTTAACGTCCCACTACTGTGCATAGCTCGCTTGATTGCTGAGGGGTTCAGGCCATGGTCTTTCGAAAACTTGCTAGCTTCTCTGAGACATACAGGTTTCCTCACGATGTTTTCCTTCACCGTAAGACAAGAGATAAACATGTTGGAAATGATTCGCACATAAAAATATCAGAAAACCCGCTTCACTCGGTTTCCCGAGCGAGCGCGTCACCACTGAGCTACCATCTACTCGTATAATATGCAGAAATAATAACAAATTAACTATGAGATAAAAGATTAAAATAAATATTATATAGCAATAAGTCATGGAATTAAGGAACTTATACGATATTATGTACATTAGTATCAAATATAACAAGTGTCTCATTTCATTATATTATTAACTTTATATAGAGTATAATATTTACATCACAATATGATGAGTCGAAAATACGCGTTATTTTATTTAATGTATATAATTTTTAATTCACTCTAAAACGTCACAACATTAATTAAATTATTTCCACATCTTACTTATAAGATAATGTCACTGTGAGTCAATCTTTTGATGTAATAGATAACAAATTAATATTACAAAATATTTTCAAAAAATTGCTTTTATATCATATAAATTGTGTATTAAATGGTTTTGATTTAGTTTAAAGTTTTATTTTTTAGGTACTTATACGTATTCTTTTCAGAAAACCCGATGCACAAAAAAACATGACTTAAAGAAGATCTATTTGTTGTTGATATTGAGAAAATATTATTATTCTTTGTTTTTTCCAACTCTGCTAAGTTTCGTTTTATGACCTTTAATCATCTATCAAAAAAGTACTAGATACACAATCAGCGACAACAAATGTCCTCACCGAATGAGCGCTCATTGAAGCATTTGAGCGTGCTTTTAATCTTTTTTTTTTGTGAAAACATCTTGAAGCATTGCATTTAAGGTTCAATTTATATTGTTTGATATTTATTTCAATTACAATAATTACCTAAACACAATTGGTGACGGTTTTAAGAGATTTTTTACATGGGATTGTGTATCTAGTACTTTTTTTATCGACGCTTTTTATATCTTAAGAGAGGTTTTATAAATAACTAGAAAAAAATAATTATTGTGAGCGTACCTTAGAAGATAAAACTCATGCTATTGCAAACTTCTCTGTGGGCCTTTTTAAGACCTACAATTGTCCAGTGCATTGTTTTGATGTATCTCTAACGGTCTAACCAGCGTTAGCCATATAATCGTACGAAAAAAGTTTTTTTGTCAAAACACCGTCTAGGCTCAGTCATTATGTACAAAATATTTACAAATTATTTACATGAACATTTCTCGTTTATTGCATTTTCCATTGGTGAAAACCGTATCAAAAGTTGCGTGGTTTAGAAGTAAGCGGAGAAACAGATAGACGCAGATAGCGACTTTGATTTATACTATGTATAGATATCCTCTTGCTTAAAGATGATCTATAAATTTTCATTACTAATTCGCCAGTTCTACTATGGACCCTACAACAAAATTGATAACTGATTTCTCAACTGAGGAAAGATTCATGTTACATATCTGTAGGAATCAAAACTCTCATAATCAAACTATCATCGGTAAAGGTTTTCACATAAAATGTCCTATATGCTCACAATTCATCAAAACCAATTCTTTGGACCACCACATTTAGAAGAGGCATTTTACAGCGCTTCTCACTATCGAACCCCAATCTTAAATGTCACTAACATTTTCCCAAATCATGGACCATACAACTTAACACATGAACCTAACTGCACTATATAGTATCCAATCTTTCATTTTCAAAATCACTTCCATTTCAATTACCATAATCACAGTAGCACTATTTCTTAGACCAGTTTATCTTCATTAAATGTTACTACCACCCCAACCCCACGCCACACAATGGATCACTGGAACATGCTTAGAAATAACTAGCATCACTCCACCACTCGATATGGCGATCGTGTAAATAAAATGTCACAACACCCACACCCCACCATGGACCAGTAGAACATATGGACCATTAAGTCCACATGGACCACATGCACTTAGAACAAACTCCTCGCATTGCTGCTGGGCGGGCGGAGCGGCATGAGGACGCGGCGGGGCGGGCGGGGCGCGCGCGCGCGGGGGGCGCGGCGTCAGCGGGCCGCGCCGGTCCACCACCGCAGGCACAGCGGGTCCACGCAGCGCGCTCGCACCGCGCGACGGGTCGCGTCGTCTAACACCTCCTAATGATGAAATCTCGCGACATTAGCATTATTAGAATTATCATCTATACCGATTTAGATGAAATTTGGTAAGAAGATAGTTTGAGACCCTGGGAAAGACATAGGATAGTTTTATCCCGGAAATCGTCTCTTAAGAGGTTGAAAATAGACATGGAAATTTGTATGGGGAAGGAACCGCTAGTTAAAAAGCTAACTCGCTAGTTTTAAATAAAACTATCTTTTCGGATTTATTTAGATTTTTGGTTGCCGACGTTTCAAAATGTCAAAAATTTGCGTAAATCTAAGACAGTATTATTAGTACTATAGTGGATTTATTATAGCTTAGGATAAGTCTTTCCGACCGATGCTACGTCGGCTATCTCACTGCGACTAGCCATTTGCACAGGAAATATTATAATTCTGTATTCCTGTCACTCTCATACTTCGGTAGGAAAATAATTTGATAGGACCGGTAAAAGATAGGTGGTGAAACACCAACTTGACTGAGAATTTTTTGAGAGAAAACCCAAATGTCTTGACCCGATCCAGGACTTGAACCCAGGACCACCGTATTTCCACGATCTGCAGCCGTACATGCTTAATACAAGTGTACATTGTCAGTATAATAGGTAAGCGTATGTTAGTCGTCAGTGTTAGCTGGCTGATTCTGGTTGCATATAAAAAGATACATTTTACTTATTCAAAGAGATCAGGTTCGATTCTTATTTGTGCACATGTAACTATTAAGTACTGACAATCAAATAACCCAGCGTAGTAAAGTAATTTGTGACAAAGAGGGTCATGAATTCAATTTGTTGGAATGTTGCAAATAAAGATTAAGTTACTATTTCTATTTCTCTATCGACCTTATAACAAATATTCAATCTGTAAATGCTTAAATATAGTAAACCCACCTGTTTCTTGAGCACGATATGTTTTCCCTTCCAATACTTCATCAGCCCCCGCTCCTGCAGAGTCGACACAATGTCCGACGACGCGATAGCAAGATCTTTGCTCAAATCTCGTATACAGAGAGTAGGTCCGGGTGCAGAGCATAGCCTCTTTAGCAATGCTTCCTTCCAATACGACCGATACGATATAAGGCCCAAGTCAGATAAAGGTGTTTCGGGCGATCCAACTTTCCCCTCGACTTTCGTGAGAAGATAGCCTAGTTAACAAAGCATTGGCATAGGTCAGTACATGCCATCATAAGCACGCAACGTTGTGTGAATGGGTTTGAAATTTGAATATATATATCGTTTCGTGTCAACGTGAGTTCGATGAAATGGCTCTACATAATCTATTGATATTGAGTGAAAGTAAATTATGGACATTTCGTGATATATTATGTTTGGATTTCCAAATAAATGGTATCTGTTTAAAAAAGTACTTATTCAATATCGATTCATTAATCATTTTCATGCATTATCACTATCGGAAAGAGCTGATGGAAAATAGTGACTTTTCACTTTTCGCCCGATCAAGATCGTGCTATTTGGGTGGGTATTGTTAACGCCGCGCTTTGTCTTTATTATACTAAAATCAAGATACTAATTCGGTATCGTATTGTAGTTACAAAACTATACGGTTATAGGACTAAAAATCAAAAAGGTTAAGGCTTAAAATCTTAGAATCCCCAACAGAATTCAATTAAAAAAGAGCTAAACAACAAAACAAACACGCCAGAAACCCCCAATTCTTGTCCCACCAATAACCCGATAAGCAATTAGACAATACTCCAAAACGTAAACGTAACAAATAATTAACGCGGCTATCAAAATTCCGCGCACCCCTCTGGGGGTGAGTCTAGACTGCAGACCGATCTATACTGCAACGCATCGATCGGGGTGAACGCCCGACGCGCCCGACACAACAAACCCTAGATGACCGCTTCAGGTGTATGTAGAACAGTGTATGGGCATTGTTATTGTTATTTTATTACATACTAGCGATACACCCTAACTCTGCTCGGGTTCGTCCCTACTTACGTTTTAACGATTAGTATAGATTTTTCAGGGATGAGATATTTTGCCGCAGTAAAAAGTATCCTATATGTTGACTCGGATAACCAGCTATCATCATGCTAAATTTCATTAGAATCCCTCCAGTGCCACCAGTCACAGACAGACAGACATACAAAAATTCTAAAAACTATAGTTTCGGCCTCCGTATCGATAATAATATCTATTTAAATAAGATTTTCCAAAAAAATATTTAATGTCACAATTTTATTATATGTATAGACTATTCAACCCTACACACGTTGCTTTGCCTAATTTTCATTAAATACATACATATATTTGTGTTCATACAAAAATCCTATACAAAAAAGCATTTGTACTAAACTCCCCAAACCGGGAAATTTTGCCAATATTTCCTTTTAAAAAATCTTTATTCGGACTATTTATAGCATTTTAAAAACAAATTAGCTTAAACAGCCTAAAAATTCTGCAGTAACGCGCTTAATAACAAACGGCATTTCATTTTTATTTATATAGATATCTACTGACATGTTTTACGATATAATAACACCCCACGAGACTAATGTACTGAGATAAACAGTACTAGAGCGCTCACCGACTCATAAGGTACGTAAATGCGAAAAATCGTATCAGTTGCTTATTCCTTTGCTGCGTAAAAGAAGGACAAACTAACACATATTTGCATATATAATATTAATAATTAACTTAGTACATAAATATGGACTGATTAAATCCTTACATATAATAAAATTGTAACTATGCCGAATCTGTACATTAATTTTTAGTGATAAGACCGCCTTTGCACATTTCTTTAAATGTATTTTTTTTTGGTATGTATCATTTTTATTTTTGTGTGCAATAAAGTGTTTAAATAAAAAATAAATATTTTTTGGAAAATCTTATTGAAATAGACATTATTATCGATACAGAGACCGAATGTATAGTTTTGAGAATTTTTGTCTGTCTGTCTGTTACCGCATCACAGAAAAACTACTAGAGGGATTTTGATGAAATTTGGTATGGTGATAGCTGGTTATCCGAGTCAAAATACAGGATACTTTATACTGTAGGAAAATATCACATCTCTGAGAAATCTATACTAAACCTTAAAACGTAAGTAGGGACGAACCCAAGCGGAGCGAGGGTGATTCGCTAGTGAATTATAATACTACCAAAGCAAATCAATTAATCCTACTAATATTATAAATTATGATGTCTGGATGTATAGTTATACTCGTATTATGGATATTTGTTACTCTTTCACGCAAAATTACTGAATCGATTTTAATGAAAGTTTACAATAATATAGCTCATACATCAGAATAACACATAGGCTATTTTTAATCCAGAAAAAATGAACGGTTCGCGTGGGATAGATAGATGTTTTTATTTTTCTAGAGGTGAACTCGATCGAAGCAAGGGTAAGCCGCTACTTAAGAATATACAAAGACCAAACCCAAACGGATTGACTATAGAATAGTAGGCAATAATGATATTCTATTAGCCTGTGTTGCTTTTCAAGTACCTAATGCCTTTACTGGTAAAATACGCTATTAAATATATTTTTACTATTCATCTCAATACCCCGCTTATTGGATCAAGATTTAACTAAAAAGAACGTCACAGTAAAAGAAGGTTAGAATAATAATTGTAGACCAAACTAGAATATTTTCTAAGAATCATTAAATATTATTAAATATAAAAACAAAAAAAAAAAGACAAAAATATAAGCCTGTTTTAAACAAAATTAGGGTAACTTAATAATAAAATAATAATAAAGAAAAAACGCGTGATTTGATTTCGGTTAAAATAAATAAATAACAAAATTACACATGTTACATCTAAACACTAAAGAATTTTGTTTCTAACTTTTGTAATAAAACAATATTTAAAAAGATAAAACTAAGTTTAATGGCGATTATATAATTTAAAACAAAATTAATGCACTTCATAACCGTAAAACCAATAATGATAGCAAAGTACTTACTGAAGTCTATAAGGAGCCGCCCATAGCCCTGCCTCTGGTAGGGCGGCAGCGTGAGGATACACGACACGTTATAGTTGAGAAACGAGTTCTTTTCCTGTCGACAAAACAAATTATGAAATCACTGAAATTATCCATACTAATATTATAAATGCGAAAGTAACTCTGTATGTCTGTGTGTATGTTACCTTTAACGCTTAATCCACTGAACCGATTTAGATGAAATTTTAGATAGTTTGAGACCTTGGGAAGGACATAGGATACGTTTTAGCTCGGAAATCATCCCTTAAGGTGAAAATGGGGGTGAAAGTTTGAATGGCGAATCAATCATTTCTCAAGAAAAAGATATAAAACTCATAATACCTATGTACGTATATACGAGTACTATATAATCTATAGAATTCCATACTAAGCGTCAAATAAATTAATGCCTTATTGGAGACGAGAAAGAAAATACGAGGACTGTTGATAATATAGTAATATTTCAAAATAAAACACAAAAATAAGATATAAAACTCAAAAAATATATAAGACAAACTTTTTTCACATGCAATAAACGTGAAAGACAAAGAAAATTCTTAAAATTTTCGCAATAGATTGAATTTTCATATAAAATAAACCTGAAACAAACTAGAGTTTAAATTTGAAAATTGTAAAATTTAATAAAAAAAAATTACCGTCTCAGTCTAAGACTAATGATCTCCCAAAAAGTCAGTGTTGGGAGTACCTAAACGATTTAATCGCTAGACGACTGGCCGTAGACAGTTTATCTATTATAGGTGCATAAGTTTTGAAGGTCGTTGAACCCGTCTGCAGCGGACAAATCTGAAAATCTGATTCGTCGACGTCCTGATCCGATAAAAGCTAAAAGGTATTGGGCAATAACTGCGTGCCTATAGTCTGGTGGAGTCTACACTTTGGACTCACCCTGGTACCGGTATACCTTTATACCTGGCTATACTTTTTATAGGGTATTTAAAAAGAAATATTCAATTGGTACCTAAAGACACATAATATAAAGGATAGGTTTGTACGTTGTTTAATCACGTAGATTTTAAGTTGATCTGAATTATATTTTTATTTTTATCTCTCTATAACTTATGTACTTCAAAATCATTTCGTAATTAATTATACCACCTTAGCGATAAAAAATTTTCTTGACCTGTTTATTAGAAATTAAATAAAAAAAATCATAAAAATCACATCACAATAGCAAACACACAAAAAACACATACGTATAAATTTAGTTACCATGTTTTTGAAATTTGGTCGAAAAATATTATAAAATATGCGTTGCCTGAATTACCAAAATTAAGGTATGATATCCAAATTACGTTTTAATTAAACTGAAAGATCTAAAATATATTTGCCACGTAAGCAAAAATATGTAAAAATGGGGTCTGGATATCAGTTCTGTTTCGGAAGTAAAACTTTTTCTTTTTAAGAGTTTAATATCGTTAGCACGCCCTAGGGTTTATAAGAGGCAGGCGAGTAATACAACATTAGTCAAGTTAAAAAAAAGTATTCAACTAGACATGATGACAATAAACAAAACTTTTCAGTTATAATAATTATAGGTCCTAATATAAAAATAAAGAGTCACATTCTTATAGTTTTACGTATCATAAAAAAATTGTCTAGATTTAAGAAATTAAATCATAAGTTTGGCAATTACCACCCAACTAGCGACTCACCCTCGCTTCGCTCGGGTTCGTTGGAACGCTTAGTATGGAATAGATAAACTATACATTAAACATATAAATAGGTATGATAAGTTATAGTGGGTTGTATCATCACATGTTTTCCCGTGACCATGAGATAATCTCCCACAGTAAAAAGTAGCCTATGTCACTCTTCAGCCTTCTAAACAAACAAACACACTTACACATTTCTAATATTAGAATGGATATACGTGACACTTACGAGTACATTATATATAAAAATTATACAGCAGTAGAGCGACACTATATACATATAAAAAGCTACCACGACAGTAGCGCGCGAGTTAACTGATATTAAGTGTTTAGAACCATTCAAGTATGTACATATATGTATGTATATTTGTATTCAGCCCTTTTTAATGTCCCACTGCTGGGCACAGGCCTCCCTTCAGTACGAGGGGGATCAGGCCATAGTCCAACACGCTGGCAAGTGCGAGTTGTCGGACTTCACATGTCTTTTGAAAACTTGCTAGGTTCTCTCAGACATGCAGGTTTCCTTACAATGTTTTCCTTCACCGTTAAGGCAAGTGGTCATCATGTTGAAAATGATTCGCACATGAAAATATCAGAGGTGCGAGACCCGGGATTTCAACCCGCTTCACTCGGTTTCCCAAGCGAGCGCGTTACCACTGGGCTACCACTGCCTCAATCAATAAATGTATATCTATAACACCAAAAGAACTACTACATTGCTAGTCTATAAAGATTTTGTTTATTTGCTTTAAAAACTCTCATATTACAGAGAAACCCAGCATTTAAACATTCTTGCATACACAATAGACTGGCTCAATTTAATTTTAATTGAAAGTTAAAGAAAGTTAATCGAGCAATAAATTTCTTTATAATGGTTGATGGCGAATAAGTAAAGTGTAAGAGCCTTTATCTTTATACCAATACCTTCCAAACAAAGGTATATCAATTCACGTTCACGTTAAGGTCTAGACGGCCCCCGTCAAAGAATGTAAAACTGCAAAGAACTTTCCAATTTCAGATCGTTTGCCCGCGGCCCTTGTGGGGTTTAGCCTCAGACTACCACACAGAAGTGGTATAAACGTAATAAAAACATTTATATCACCCATCTGCTTACCGAATGGAAAAAACTTGGCATTTATTACTACACTGAAAATCGCAAATCGATTGTTGTACGTAATGTATTATATTGCCCTATGAATATTATAAATGTGTGACGATAAGACAATGTTTGTGATATAATTACTCTTAAATTGCTACACAGATTTGCATGAAATTTAGCAAACCGATCTGTACAATTCTAGACCATGTTCTTCATTCTGAGCCAACGCACTCGATACGTTTTTTAAATAAAACTATCTTTTCGGATTATTTAGCGGATATATTTTGATTTTTGGTTCCCGAGTTTTGGTTTTGGTTCTAAGAAAGTATTATGTACACTCGATACGTTTATCCTAGTAATGCGCCCCCTTTATGTAATAGTTCAACTGTAATCTTATTCGATCAAAATGTTAGTTCTGAATTAAGCAATAAATGGCGCTACCTTAAAACTTTCAGGTATACAAAGCCACTTTTTTGAGGATAATAAAACTATCCGGTGATGTCTGAGGAAAATGTTGAACAAGATGAAGAAATAAAAGTTCGAGGAGTAAAAATAATACTATAATGACAGAGAGAGAAAGTACAACTGAATCATTTGACCAGTTTTAAAAAAACCAATAATTTATAAGTAAGTTACATATTTTATAGTTTATTAATTATATAGTTCGATACCGTAACCACTCACAATCAGTACAAAAACTCGTAAATTCGATTAAAGTTAGTACAAGCTTTTATTATATATTAATTACCATATTATTATGTATAAATTACACCCCTAACGAGACAAACAAAAATGGCAATTAACAATAAAACAATTGAAATCTCCTTATCAAATTTTACGTATATCCGATGCCACTTCGCAAACTCCATCCTAAGGCTTTTAATGAAGACTCAGAACAGTCTGGATTTATTGCGTTACAGCCGCGCCGTCTAGACGTCTGCGAGCGTGTTTACATCCGTAAATTGTCACTGGGGTGCGCGAGGGTGGATATTATATGTGAAACGTTTCTAATGCCTTTGAGGGGCCGAGTGTACTAATAATATTTGGTAATGTGATGTAGATTCCGAAAACACTTGATAAGATGATCTCTTTCTATTATTTTATGGGAATCATAACCCGTTTGAATAAATTTAAGTACAGAAAAATATAAATGATGAGTTAATTATAATTCACTATATTTATCATTATCATTTATTGCGTACTTAGTGTTAATATGTATGTTTTGACATACATACATACATGTAATTGGCATAATAATTCGAACAATCGATAAAAAAAATTAAACTAAAAAAAAAAGCAGTCGCCACAGGTGAAGTCAGGTCAGCGATTGTCAAAGATCCGGGAAGCGTCCCCCGGTTCGACGACCCGCCAGTCTGCCCGCCGTCTAGATTTAACGTACTACTTGTGAAATAGAACTCGATCCCCGATCGTCTGTGTTTACGGAAAATAGAAATAAGCGTTCAGTAAAAATAACTTTAAATCCAAGTGAAATTCAGAATTTTTACTAAAGTCAAAAGAACGTAAACGCTTACTGTCTTAAATTATTTCAAATGTTATTCGAATAATGATTGCATTTTATTTTACAAAACTGTTAATTTAGTGTAAAATCAAACCGAGTGTAGAACTAAACTCAGCTTGATTTTATTTTGTTACTCTTTTTTTTTCTTAATTTATTGCGTTATAATGGATATAAATAAGGAATCTCCAAACAAGTATTTTTTTTTATTTTGAACTTTGGCGAAAGAAATACAAAAGAAATGAAAATTATTTTTATTTTTATTACTATTGAATATTTTATAAAGAATGGAATTAAATTGAAAATCATTACATATAAAATTTATTCCCAACAGGTCAGAGGTTGTCAAAGATTCGGGAAACGCTCCCCAGTTCGACGACCCGCCAGTCTGCCCGCCGTCTAGATGTAACGTGCTACTTGTATAATAAACGTTCGATATGTCTGTCTGAGTTTGTAGATAGCGGAAGCTTGCTTTAACGTTATAATAAATTGTCATTGAAAAAATATATAATATAAGATTTTTTTGATTGGGAATACTAATAAAAATCAAATTAAATATTTATAATAAAAAATAGTATTTTTATTTTACTTCAGTGAGTAATTAGACTATTACTAATTAAAAAGATTGTCAGATACGACTGAGTAGTCTGGAAGATATTAGAAAACCGATTTGGTATATTTTATTGAAAAGTCCAATAAAATATGCATTCTAAAATTTATTTCAACACAATATGTGCACTTTAAAAAGATTTTGTTTTATTTTTCAGTCTGGCCACAAAGAAAACCTT